CCCCCCCAAAGTCCCAGCCCTGCTCAGGAAATTCTCCATCTTATGGGGGAGGTGGAAACGTAAACGGGAGAATTACAGGTAAATCCGGCATGTGCTGTGACAGGGGAAGGCACAACTGCTTGGGGGACCAGGTGGAAATGCCTGCCTGGGAGGTGACTCGAGGGAAGAGTGGATGAGGTTGATGGGCCGCCGGGTTTTGAAAGATGAATAGGCGCTCACCAGGCAGGCTAGTTAGAAAGGACGTCTGGGCGGACTGAACAGCGCCAGCAAAGGCAGGCTTGTGGCAGATGCCAAATGCAGCCACTTGCTGCCCTCGTCAGGACTGACCACTGTATTGCAATGGTCTCTAGGCTGGTTGCCTCGTTTGTGTTCCACTCCCAAGTTCAATTTCAACACAGCAGCCACGGTGACCTTTCTAAAAGTGCAATCGGACTCTGATGCTCCTTTGCTTAAAATCCTCGATGGCGGCAGGCTGGGGTCTAGGTCCTACGTGGCCGGCAGGCTGGATCTTCCTTTCACTGCCGGGCCCCGCCCCAAGGTGTTTGCACGTGGGGCTCCCTTCCTTAGGAAGGGCTCTGTCTGGGGTCCGACTGCCTCGGCCCAGGCCAGCTCCCCTGGCGCACCCACCACAATGATGACAGTGCTTTCCTCCCAGGTTTCCGTTTAAATAACAGCTTTTTTGGAAAGGCCTTCCCCAACCTTTGATCTGAAATAGGTCCCTTGCTGTAGCGTCCGGTCTGCTCCTCCCCTGTCACATGTATAATGCAGTGTGTCTCCCCCACTGAGAACCTGGCAGAAAGGAGCAGGGACCACACCTGCCTCGTCCCCTGCGGGCCCCCCGGCCCTGGCGCTATGCCCGTCCCGCACACAGGAACGGGGTTGTCCAGATAATGAGTTGTCAGCCCTCGAGGAAAGACACCGCGGGGCCAGTAACATAATGATGATTCTGTAATTATCAACTCCATACCAGATAATTCCTCCCCAGAGGAGGGAAAAGACGACGTAGAACAGCAGTGACCCCCAGATCACAAAGTGGTTTATCCAAGTCCAGTAGTGTGTGTCCAGCGCCAGCTGAAAGAGGGATAAGGTGATTGATGGTGGTGTTACCTGGGCATGTGGCCCTGTAAGCCCTGACAGCTGGGGAACGAAGCCAGAAGAGAATGGAAACAGCCTTAATTTTAGCCCAAATGCCTACATAAACCTGTTTGGGAAAAACACACTTTAGGTTCCAATGGAGAGAAAAGATTCCCCACGGCCTCAAAGTCTCAACATTGCCAGTAAGTCTGCCCAGATCCCAGGGAGATGCTCTCACAGGGCGACTCGGGCGACGGCTCAAGGCGCTGGTCATAGCTCTACCCGGGACGTTGCTCTGGGGTTTTCCAAGACTCAGGTTGGTAGGATTTGGGACCTTCATAATGAGATTCCAGGAAGAATCCGACCTAACTTGAAAAAGAGCTAAATTTTCCACAGTACATTAATTTGTTCCAATTAAGATGGATTTTGCTTATACTAGGGGTGGGGCAGATGGCCATTTAAAAGAAGTCTAATACCCATCCCTTCACACAGAACAGGCTCCTTCCCTCCATCACCTTCTGTGTAATTCTGACCTTTGCCCCTCAGGGCCGGGGCCGAGTTGGTGGTGGGGAGAAGGCCCCGGCAGGGTTAGGGTCACGGCTCACTAGGAGGGCTGACTGTGCCCGGAGGAAGCCCGTCAGGTCAGGGGATGTACCTTCAGGGTGACCGTAAACACCATCACCGTGAATACCAGCGTCCCGAAGGTCCAGTTCCCAGATACCTGTGGAGACAAGAGTCCACGTCGTCCCCCACTAATACGGATTGTCCTCCTTCGCACTCCGCACGAGGGGCAGAGAGCGCCTCCCCCGGCCCCGCCTGACACTTCCAGCCCCAGACACGCGGAGACACCGCGATGTCGCCAAAACGTGAGAGGAAGGCCGGCCGAGCCCGGCTCGCTAGGCCCCGGATCCCGCAGCATCGCCGGGGCGGGTGGTGGTTCCCGCTGGGCGCCCCGTCCTTCCTGCATAGCTGCCCCCGGTGTTGCCCCCTCGCTGCTCCCGCAAATGGCGGCCCTGCTCACAAACCAGAGCAGGACATGTCTGAGAGCTAGAGTCACGGTCTGCAGGGGGCCGACCCCACTCTCCCCGCTCGTGTTTCATGCGGACGAGACCTTTACCCGGCGGCCCAGCCCACGCTCGGTAGAGCGCGTGTCTAGTCTCTTTTCAGCTCAAACACCTGTCGGCTTGGAAGGCAAACCACTGCTGCCATCATCCTGGGAGCGGTGAGAGCAACAGCCTTGTCCCCTGCGGGGACAAACCCCCCCTGCGCATCCCACCGGGATGCGGCCCCGTGGGAGTCATGGAAACGGAGGAGGGGAGACACGACAGAGCTGCACAAGGGCCCAGGGCAGGTCCGTGGCCAGAACCTCGGACACGCAGCGGCCCCCGGACGAGGCCCCAGTGGGATGTGGGCTCGGCCAGCGGGGAGCACACACGTCCGACCGGGAGACAACACGTTTCTCACCCACAGACACAGACACAAGCAAAAGGAAACACCAGCCACTTCAGGGTCTTCCCCCTGGGGACAAACCAGCCTCTTGGACATGTTATTTTACAAGAGTTATTTTCCTTGAGATTTCTACACTGCCTGAGAGCCGACCCATTTCTGGTTTGTCGGATTCTGCGAGCTGGGCCTCTCAGAAAACTCTCCTAGTCCTTCTTTAAGAGAACACAAAGCTTTATGTCACAAAGCATTACAAGCTGGAATAAAAACTGCTTTCCCGTATGGTTAGTTTTCAACCAAAGAAACATCCCTAC